CTGCATGTAGAAGCGTGATATGAATATTGTTTTGTTGAGGTTGTAGGTTCTAGAAATACACCGGGAGGTCAGAGCTCTTTTGATGGCCGTCATAAAAGCATTACTTTTCCATTAGAAGAATGTTCTTGGCCTGCTGTGTAGGTCTTTATCACTGCTTGAATTTCTCTCTTCACTTGCTGTATTCTTCTTCTCATGAGTCATCAAGAATTTATGCACCAGCTCTGCGGAAAAATGATGGTGATTTCACCTTCTGCAAGAAAAGAAGAATATTTATCTGTTATCTTGAGGATAGGGTTCATCTACTGTACAAGAAACATTCTTATATTTTTTTTCTTGCACGCACTAGATTATGATCTAACTAAGCGCAGAAATCTTTGGAATGATTTCTGGAAACAGATAAAGCATGTTTGATGAGTTGAAAATAAACAGCTTCTGGGCAATAGCTGATATTTTTGCTGATTATTTATCTATTAGAGCTCCCAGACTGCTTTATTAATGTGGGTCTGTGTGCAAAATATGTCTAGGGACAGTTTAAAACTTGTATATTAATGAAAGTAAACCAACACAGAGTGTAAACAGAGATTATATTCACTGAAGTGGAACACAGCTGTGCAAATGAATGAACAAAGTTATGAAATTATGGCCAAGTTGGTCTAGTGCAGGATGCCAGATCTGTAAGCCGTGCAGCATGACAGTATGGTTACAATGTTATTTTATCAAAAATATAATGAGCTCAGAATTTCATGAGGTTTTGTGTGCTTAATGGTTTGTGATGTGTTGCTAGTAACAGTTTCCAGCTTTTGTACATCTTTGTCATTTTTAATGAATACAGCCTTAATTGTTTAGACATATATATAGACATACTGTATGAGCAGAATCAGAAATATATTATTATACAGTAATACAATACATATACATACGGTATATGTGTGTGTATAGCACAGCAACCCATGAATCAGAATCCCAATGTCTGTATAAGGCAGAGGTTCATGTAGGGTGATATCAGGGTTGAGTATAAGAAAAGTAATTTATCTTTAATAAAACATGGTTGATATTTATATGAAATAACAGTCAAATGTGACACAGAGAGAATGGCCTTGTGATAAGTAGTATAAAGAAACCACATTAAGAATATTGTTTGATCACAGCTCAGGATAAAAATGACTTTTTGAAAGCTTTTTATATTGTATATGTGACCCTGGACCACAAAACCAGTCATAAGGGTAATTTAAAACAAAAATTTAGATGTATACATAATCTGAAAGCTGAATAAATAAGTCCAAATTAAGTTCTTAGCAATGCATATTACTAATCAAAAATGAAGTTTTTATATATTTAAGGTAGGAAATTTACAAAATATCTTCATGGAACATCTCTTCGCTTTACTTACTATCCTAATGATTTTTGGCATAAAAGAAAAATCGATCATTTTGACCCATAAAATGTTTTTTTGGCTATTGCTAAAAATATACCCAAGCAACTTAAGACTGGTTTTGTGGTCCAGGGTCACAAATTAATATTAATTCTTTTTTTCCCCCAAGTTTTTCTTCATTTCTTGTGACTTTTAGTCATTTTTAAATAGTTTACCCCAAAATGAAATTTCTGTCATCATTTATTCACCTTCTAGTTGTTCCAGGTGTGTATGAGTTTCTTTCTTCTGTTGAACATAAAAGAAGATATTTTGAAGAATGGGTAACTAAACAATTGCTAGTATAGCCACTGACTTCCATAGTATTTTTCCCCCATACAATGGAAGTCAACGATGAACATGCAACAGTTTGGTTACCCACATTCTTCAAAATATCTTCTTACATTTTTTATTGTTAATTATTTTAAAACGAAATAGATTTATTTCATTTAATGTTCACTTTATTTTAAGTAATGACATTTTTTATGGTTTTATTGTTAGTTTTACTTCGAGATAATAGTCCTGCTTTCTGTTTCTTAAAGGAAATGATTTTTCATATTGGAATTTTATCCCCTTGTTTAGTTGAGAGCTGTAGAGCATAAGAAAACAGACCTTTCAGACAAATTACTAAATAGGCTTGTCTCTTTTAGTAATTCTCTTTTAGTAAATGAATTAATAATTTATTAATTCAGAACAGCAGCCTTACTGTCACATTAGGCAACTGGACTGTGAATGTGACCATCCAATCAGCCATGATCCATAAGTGTGAAGATTAATACTGTGCTCTTATCTGACAGCTTCAGAAGCCCTGCATGTTGTTAAAAGTGGCTTTAAACCACAGATCTGAACTCATCTGTGCAGATCAGTAGAGAGGTTGGAAGCACACAGAGATAATCAAATGATCTTTTCCTATAATGCTCTTAAATGAGTAAGTCAAGTCAGATGCAAATGCAAAGAGATTATGTGTTAAAATATCACTGGCTGAATTGATCAATTGAACAATTGATCAGAATGTGATATATTATGATTTTGTTGAATTAAAGCATTTATAAGGTGGTTCTGTGAAGCACTTGATTCTGATTGAATGTAACATTGTGCGTAGGTGACAACAAATTTTTTTTGAGAGAAAATGCCAGATTACACTATTGGGTTTCAACTTTCTAACAATACAAATGTCAAAAAACAAACACTTTACAGCAGTTCAAATGTTGACTTCTATCTTACTAAGATGCAATTTTAGATATATTTAATACTTATGTTATGTATACTTGTGCATCCTGTTCTGTATTATTGAGACAGTTTGAAAGTTACTGTGGCTTGTCACGGTTGTTAGACCACATAAGCAGTCATCTGTAGGCTAGACTGTCCCATTTAACAACACTTGGTTTGACCTTTGTGGATGCAGCCCTTGATTTGGGACATACAGAGGATTTCTCTGACAAACACAACTGGCGCCATTTAGCATTTCAGTTATCGGTTGGATTGAAAATGACTTCAGAGGACTTCAGTTTTAATACTACTGTAATATTGTTTGTCTTGTTGGTAGGCTAATTGTTTCTTTTTATTATTTTTAACAGAAGCCTAAGGTAAAACTGTATAATAATTGCAACTCAAATATTATATCCTTGTATTTATTTATTTGATGAGTAACTGTGCAAAAAGTGGGATAATGTTCAGTTATTCTTGATACGGGATTCTTGATATGGGTTTATTCAGAGTTGTGTGTTTAGGCATACTGACAAAGAAACTCACTCACATATGGAGTCATTTTGCAGTCTGTGCTCTAGAACACACGCATGAAATCCCATCAAACAACACTGTAAAAAGAGAAACCTTTTTGCTGCGCTGCTGCCACCAGCATAAGCATTTGCAAATTTAATTAAAACTCTTGCATACTTGCTCAAGGCTGGCAATGAGTTATGAGCATCTTAATGTTTATAACCAACATCAAAATCTTTCATTTTAATGGAAAATGTCACAATGAGAGCAGAACATCCGGTGTGTTGTGTGTTGAAAGTGTTCTCAGTTTATGCTGTAACAGATATGATGAGAAAAACATGTTCTAAAAGTAAAGCAAGGGATTTCCACATATCCTGTATTTGTGTAGTTTGCTAGGTTTACTACAAAATAGTGTACAATTCCACAACTGTCACGTTTTTCTTCTGTAAGACAAGCAATATGTCCTGTGGATAAAGAATAATCCTCACATAATAGTGCCTTAGCTGTGTAATAATACAAATGGCCAAAGAAAATACATACATTGTTCTGTGGATGTTTACCCAATTTAAGCATTGCGAAATAATGGATTAGGGATTGTGATGGTGAATACTAATGAGCCAGCATCTGTTTAGCTGTGACTCATAGCTGAGATGGTATATCTGGAAATATGTCAGGACTTGAACAGATACCAAACTCATTGCAGGTTCTCGGCTTCTGTAGCTGTCTGTCACACATTCCACAGAGATGACAAGAGCGACATCAGCATTATCAGATTTTCTATGTCACATATTTTTGAAATCATCTCTAAATGACCACAATGATTGTTATTGGAAATAATTCAAATAAAATAAAAGGAAATGAAAGGGATTTGTATGTGTAAACATACCTGGCAATAAAGCTCATTCTGATTCTGATTCTGATTCTGATCCACTCTCATGTACTAGTTTGTACTTTTCGGACGAAAGTAAAAGGAAAATATTATACCTTTGCCATTTCAAGCAATATGTTATTCTTATTGTATGAAAGATCAGAACTGTACTACTTTTGACAATGGACCAGACGAGCACCAAAGCAATATATGAACTTTGAACCCTAAGAAACCTGTCACAGATGGATTACTGCGTGATAATCAGGAAATGAAAACACGGAAATGGCTCCTTGAGAGGTTCTGTCTGAAGCTTTTTTGTTATTGTTGAGTGCTCTGTGAAATTGCAGGATGATGTACATGAAAAACGCTGGACAGACATTCAGTACACTGATGCGCTGTTCAGGATAAGCCAGACCCTATAATGGCACTTCTGTGGGAGGAAAATACTAATTCAGAGTGCAACACCAAATGGACTCCCATCGCTAAATGACAATTGCAGAAGTCATTCAATTTGCATTAGTAGTCAGCAGTTTAGTAAAATTAGGAATTAGTTGGCAATAAGACATTTTATTTGAGCATTTGTGTTCCTTAGACTTAGACTTTGTGTCCCTTAGACTCACTCTGAAATATACGAGCTGTTTTACTATAGCCTATGGTTCAATACAAATACTGTCTTTTTAATCGATAAGATAAGAGAGAGACATACTGATGTTTTTGTACTGTATAAAAAATATGGAATTGGTATGTTGGCAAATAGAAGAAATAGCGACCAATTAGGCCTACTGCACCTAAAAATGTAAGTTAGGAACTTAGGACTAAAGATTTGAACCTTGATGCTAAAACAAAAGTTCATGTCCATGTCATATCAAGCACTACATATACTCAGTGATATTTCCATTAGTTTTAGATTAAGCATTTTAATATTTGTGACAGAAAGTAAAATAAATAAATAAATAAATAAATAAATAAAACAAAAAGAATGTTGAAAAACATGAAAACTTCACTACCCACACGCCCTTTCTGCCTTCGCGTGTGGTTTAATCCTCCGCGGCTTCCGTAAGCTGTCGTGGCGCTTGTGGAGTGCGAGGGCGAAAGTACTGCGGCTCTAAATAGGAAGATAAGCAAATATTTGTTACAGGTACATTACTTTCAAACTGCAGTGATCGTATATCATATAAAGGTTTCCGGGTGATAATGAGGCGCGCAGGTTTAGGTAAGTAACTGTTTCTCTTTATATGTCGTTATATTTGAATCTTATGCTAAGCTAAGTTCTCAATTCAAATAGATATCAGTCACAGTTTGAGACATCAAACAAACACTGAATGACCAAATCATATGAAATAGTTAACCACAATGTCTAGGTTTGGAGGACCATATGAATAAATAACGGTACGAGACTCATGCCGAAATGGTCTATCTGAGGCAGCAAATAACTGGCTAGTTTTCTCAATATCAGACCAGCTGTTCCATAGGTCAGGTTAACATATAGAGATGTTTATATCAGATGAAGAATGAGTGTTTGTTTTTGTTTCTGTGTGTATAAACACACTTAGACACTGCCACAATATAAATATGATTTAGATTCCTTCCATATCGTTCCAACAGTTTTAATTAAAAGAACGATCAAAATATAATTTAAAAGTCTGTTCTTAAAGAGGTCGATTTTTACTAATATATAATTAAAATAAATAGATTTTTCACAATAATTAAATTATTATAAAAAAATCTTGTTTGTCTTGTGAAGACCAACAAGATTTAATTAATAGTTTCTCATTTTTAGATGTTCAGTAGTTTCTGATGAATATATAAACCTTATTTGAAGTTAAAAAATGATGTGGTAAAATGATTTGCCCTGCCCACCTTATAAACTTCCTCAATTACTAACATTTAAAATAGATTGCTGTGATTGGATATTAGATTTTACAATACTGAGAAACACCAGTCTTATCTAGCCAATTTGACCTGTTTATTGTCGTTTAGGTGAGGGCGGCCCTCCAGGCAATTACGCTGCAAGTGGATACAGTGTGTATGAGGAGGAGAATGAACATCTACAGGAGGGACTGAGAGCTAAAGTACATGCACTTAAACATGTAAGTGGACTTGAACATATTTGATTCTATATTTTTAATAACCAGTTTGCACAATTGTCTCTCTCTCTCTCTCTGTATATATATATATATATATAAATATAAATATAAATGAATTATATAAAGTATATAATACTTTATATATTTATTATGTATGTATATATGTATTAAATATATAATACATACTAATAAAGCTTCATGCATAATTACGAAATTATTTTTTATTACTTAGCTTTTTATCAGTCATTACATTATCTATGCATATATATATATATATATATATATATATATATACAGTA